ATTTCCTGGGTCCTCTGTCTCTAAACCCCCAGGTTAAGGCCATGTCGACATGCTGTGTCAGCCTCACCAAAGGTTTCCTCATTGTCTTCTTTGTGAGTTATCCTACCCAAGCCCCTGATCCCACTTCCACCCCTCCCACAAACCTCCTTAATCCATCTCTGGTCCCCCATTCAACCTTCCCTGCCCCCTCAGTTCCTAGGCAGCATTGTATTCGCCCTTGGCCTCTGGATTCTCATTGACAAGAACAGCTTTGCCTCTTATCTGGGTAAGGGATTCTGTAACTCAATCCTGCTGGTCTCAACCCCTGACTGTGACCCCTGACCCAGGGATACCTTCCTTTAGGCCCTAGGAGGCAGCCATAGTGTGGTGTGAACTGGAAGGCATTTCTGAATCCTGGCACTGACACTAGCTTCCTGTCTGACTGTGGTCCTCTCCTTTTTGAACCTTAGTTTCCCCATTTATCAAACGAGGGGGGTTGAGGGGCAGCTAAGTGCCGTAGTGGATAGAGTACCAGCCCTGAAGTCAGAAGGACCTGAGTACAAATCAGGCCTCAGACCAAACACTTGACACTTACTAGCTGTGTGACCCTGGGCAAGTCACAACCCCAATTGCCTAAAAACAAAACAAAAAAAAAAAGAGGGGGGTTAGATTCAAGGACCTCTAAAGTCCATTCCTTGAGCCAAAAGCTCCCTCTTCCCACATGGGCATCTTCTATACCTCTCCCTTCCCACCATTCTGTGGGTGTCTTGCAGGACTATCACGAATGCAGGTATGGGCCTATTCAATGGCCTTATCTGGGGTCCTCACAGGGCTGGTGACCCTCCTCGGCTGCCTTGGAGCCCTCTGGTGAGTACTCCTCAAATACTCCCTGGTACCCCCAATGCCTGGAGATGCCCCCAAAAGGCCTCTGAGATCCTCCCCTTTGGATTGCTCCAAATCCCCCATGTCCTCATGATGTCTCCTTAGGGACCTTCCAACCTCCAGAGCAACTCCTAGATGGAGGCCCTAACTCTGCTCCCT